AGCTTCTAATGGGAATAGTGTAGAAGCTTATAGATTGGGTCTAGTGATTCTGGCTGATCCAGCATTTCCAGTTTGTCCTGGTATCTTCTCAGCAAATCTCTCTCAGAGGAGGAAGAGATTATGCTTACCTGTGTAGTACTGTGTAGTATTATAAGATTTTCCTATTCTTTGGTATTTTAGAAACATATGGTTTGGCTATAATTTTTTTTCCCTCTGTACTGGGGGAAAACAATTAAATCAGTAGTAAGAAAATCTGGAGAACCTGACAGATTCTAACACTAGCCAGTTGGTGACTCTGCACTTAGTCTCCTTGGATTGCTTTTGTTTTTCACCTGTAAAATGAAGAGGAAGTAGATAATCTCTTTAAAGTTCTTTCAACTAATAACAGATACATTATTAAACTGCGTGCTAACGTTTTTGTTAGGGATTTGCTATGGACTGAATTGTGACCCCACAAAATTCCTGTGTTGAAACACTAAACTCTAATGTGACTGTATTTGAAGATAGGGCCCATATTGAGATATTTAAGGTTAAATAAGGTCGTAAGGGTGGGCCCTGATCTGATAATGTCCTATAAGAAGAGACACTAGAGAGCTCTTGGGCATGCTCACTTGCTCTCTTTCTGAATGCTCAGAGGAAAGGCCATGTGAGGACAAAGCAGCCATCTACAAGCCAGGAAGACAGCTCTCACTAGAAACAAGCCTGCTGGAACCTTGATCTTGGGCTTTGCAGCCTGAAAACTGTGAGAAAATAAATTTCTGTTGTTTAAGCCACATAGTCTGTAGTATTTTGTTATGGCACCTCAAGAAGACTAATACAGAATTTAACCATACCGAGTACATTTTTACAAATTGAGTCTATATTTTATATGATTTGTAAATTAGATGTATAACTTCTTTGTGTTGGAATAGGAAGTGAAAGGTTTTAACCTGATGGTGGAAAGAAGACCCCACAATTTCTGTTTTTCTCTGAGCTCCTAGATCCTGGGAAATTATGGTATTGAGTTGGATGTTATGAGTAATTTAGTTGGATTATTTTTGAGACAAGTAGCAGAAGAACCTGAGCATAGTTGAGAAGCAATTATTATTTGAAGGCAGAAGAAAAGAACCAAGCTAGAGAGCTTCTCTCTTTAATGGTATCTACCTACAATATTAATAACCTTGTTGAATACCCCTGTTGGAGTAATCATATTGATGGGGATTGATAGCATATAGTTAATGTTACCATCTGCAAACCTCATTCTGAAGAATCCAATGAGCAAATTGCTGGAGTGGTGGCTTGCAAATATCTAAGGCTGTCTTTTTTTTTTTTTTTAACCTCTGTTTTTGCCTTGGTATGGCAGGGGAGATAGGATTTATGTTAAATATAATTAAGTAAATACACCTGTTTCATAGTTGTATCCCACACACATATTTCTAACCTGTTCTGGTCTGCATCAATGGGATAGTCTCAAAGGGGAGCAGAGGAAGTGGCTTGCGACTTGGACTTGGGAATATCTTGCTCAGATTTACATTGCTTTTCTGTGCTGTTGCTGATTCCATGCAACTTTATTTCCCTGAGAGCTACTACTATTGACCTGATATTATTGGCTGCAGGCTGGCAGGGAGGATTCACTTAGAATAGGTGGTTACTTCCTGTTCTTGTCTACAGACTTGGAAAAATGGAGAGCGTTTACTTTTCTCCAAAGGTTTCTCAGAAAATAGTGGTACAAATGTTCTGAAGTAGGAAAATTCCTTAAAAAGCTATGTCTGCTCACCCTCAGATAAACATTTCCATTAATATTTCATTTCATTTTGAGCTCCTTTCTAGTTTGTAATATTTTTTTCAATGTATGTAGGTGGCCTTAAACCATATGGTAAAAGTATTTTCCAAAAATATTCAGTCTCTGTCTTACTATGAACTGTTTTCCTTATATCCTTGCCATTGAGCAACTCTTCTCAACAGGCTCAAATCCTTTTCTCCTTTGTTCTGTCTGTGGTTATGTTGATGTTTTATGTCCTTTTGGGAACTCATACATGTTTAAATAATACATTTAAGAATGAAATTGCCTATTTCTTCCTTCTGTGTGTTAGGAAAAGAAAACCTTGGTTGCTATTTTTAGATAATATGTATTGAATGTCCCCATAGTCATTGCCCCATACAAAGTAGTTATCACACACAAGATGCAATCTCTTGTGGTCCATTATGTTATTCTCTTTCTGTATACTTTAAAATTCTTAACTTTACAAGTTCTTTTCTCCATTAAATGTTGCTTATAGGTATTTTGTTTTTTTTTTTTAATTCCATATATGTATTCTTTATAAAAGACATTGGATGCACATTTGCAAATGAGATATTAGAGTCCCAGATTTTGAAGGAGTAGTTTTATTCTGTCTACTGAAAGTCTGATTTCTTCCATCTTTAGGCATCTGTCCTAAACACACTGGGGTTGTCAAGTAGCAATTTCTCCCATCTTTGATACAGCTACTTCCCCACAATAGCAACCCCCAAATTGGATGTTGGTAGGGAACAAGGAGAATGCAGAAAATTCTGCATCTGCCTTACCTTTTATGAGGGCTCTTGAGAACACTTATTCAACAGTGCCTAAAATTCATAGACTGTTCAATCTAGAAGAGACCACAGTGCTGTGCACTTTTATATCTCCATGCTCTTACTTACTATGAAATGCCTTCGCTCCCAGGCTGCCTGGCAAAAGGCAGCTTATCCTCTAGCACCCTACTCCATTAATGTATTATGTAACCTTCATCAGTGTTAGCATAGCGTTATAAGAAATTGTATATAATTTCTCCCATGATGTGTATGAATGTCCTCTAATGTATTTCATAATATAGTGTTTAATTTGTGTTCTTTTTCATTTACCCTACAAATTTTGAATCTTTGCTTTAATAGAGAGGATTGTAGTAAGAATGATGTATATGTGTGTGTATATACATAGAGAGAATGGAAGGCATTTTTAAAATGACTTTAATTTCTTGTGTTTTTGATAGGAAATGAATATACTCACACTTTTAGATTTCTCACTCAAGTCACTGAGAAAGAGAATATACCACTTAGCTCTGTGTTATTGAGAAACCATCATGGTATTTTGAAGACATGTTATATATGTTACAGTGTGATTCACTTTGTGCCGAGTCTGCCAAAGGACATGTCTTAGAGATATTTTATATAGACGTTGTTATGGGAAAGGATTGATATCCTACTGTTCATATAATGGTTGCTTACATTGACTCCACCAAATTAGAAAATGAAAAACGAAGAGGTGAAATTCATCTTTAAAGATAATGTGTGAATTTTAGGATATTAGTATTTTATGGGTAATAGAAAAAGTGAGAAAGTAATTCCATCTAATTCTTGTCTTTCTGATCTACTATTAGCCAAGAGCAGTTAGAGAAAATTTCCAGCTGGAGCATTAGAATCTTTCTTCAAGTTCTAAGATATTTAGCACACATGATGTAGAAAACGGAAAACCTGGTATTTACATTTTGCTTTTTGCTTTAGTACCCTTCGTGTAGATCATTTAGCACTTGAATACTGACATCGACAACAGCTTGGCCTTATACTTTAGTCATCTTTTTCAATGCTTCTGGGCATTTGGCTCTAGGAAGAAGGTAATTCTTAGTACTGTTCCCTGGTTTGTATATGTTGTTTATTTGGGAACCTGTCTGCCACTGTGGCTACCCGTCAGAACTCAGCACAATTTAAATGTTTATGGTGGGTGATTGAAGTGCTTGAACAGGATATCTTTTCACCCAACCCCTGATGACTAGACTAGTGGGTACTTTAAAGAATAAATGTGTTCTCCAGCTCAACAGCACATTATAAGAAATGTATGACATACAGTATGTCCCCCTAAGATTTAAATTTTTAAAAGTTGAAATGTTTCATATTATACCAGTAATACTCTGAATGAATACTCATATCAACACGAACCATCCCCAACTGTAGGGTGTTTATCTTTTGAAAAATGTCCTAAAATGTGTAAATTAATTTATTTCATAAAAACTGACATATAAAGTTGCTTCTAATGAAAATAATTGCTTTTAGTCATTGCTAATAATTGAGGCTGTTGGTAGTTTGCTTCAGAATGCAAGAATCAACTGTATTACATTTCATTTAAAACTACATTATTTTCTTGATGTCATTGTATTATAATTGATAGTTTGATAGTTGATGCTTGAGAGATTATATTTATTGGCAATAATTTTATCTAAAAGTTAAAATGAATTTTCTGGTTTCAGAGTATTACTTTGTTAATGTTTGCTGTTATCCTTCACCTTTCAGAATGCTAAGCAGTTTTCTAGGCCAAGTTGAAGATGATCAAACTCGATAAAATTTTCTTCTATTCCAGTAGCTTAATTATGTCATTTTCGAAAAAGTTTATAGCACTTATTTCCTTTTTTCTTGTTGTAGTTGGCTGTGAGCATGCCTGCCTTCTGTACCAGCTCCTAGAGAGCAACACCTATTTTTCAGGCAACTTTATATTTCCAGTAACACCTTTCATGGTACTTTGCCCCAATATATTTAATATTTATTGAAATTAGTGATTTCCTCCCTTGTTTTTCTGAATTAGACTTATGAATCAATTAGTAACTTGAGGCTTAAATGAGGAAGCAGGCAGTCAGCCATGATGGTTAAAACTCTGTAGTCAAGATTGCCCAGGTTTGAGTTCCTACTTCATTATGTATTAATTGTGGGACTGGCTCATCTGTAAAAATAGGAATGTTAGTAATAACACCAGCCTCCTAGAGTTTGTTGATAAGGATTAACATAGATAATTTGTTTAAAACATTTATTATGCTGCCTAACATATAGGATATGCTCAATACAATGTAGCTATAATTATTGCTAACTGCAGTCCCATTAGACTAGACCCAGCCCCTTGAGGGCCTGTCATTTGGTCTGTATATCTCAGGCACCAAACCTTGCATATAGTAAATCCTCAGTACATACTTGCTTGAGTTGAATTGATTGATTTACCCTATTTTTATCTTCCATTGCAGCCCACTGTTTGTAACATGGAAGATTGGTCGAGACAAAAGACTGCGTGGATGCATAGGTACTTTTTCTGCCATGAATTTGCATTCAGGACTCAGGGAGTACACACTTACCAGGTGAAGACCAATTTTTGTTGCCTCTGCTTCTACATTAAAAAAAAAAAAAACAACTTATGAAACTTGAACCTCATTATTTAACTCCTTTTCCTTTACTGAATTATTAATATTCTTGACTCCTTTCATATCAGATTATTTGACTATTTGCCTTATCTTGATAAAATGATATTGATATATATTATCATAATATAAAATACTGTGATTACATGTATGTCTGCCACAGGTGTTTTAAAATGTTTTTCTTTTCTTTCAATGGCCAGCTTATTTTGTATAACTTGAAATATCAATGACCAAATGTCCGTGGGTTACCAAAATATATTATTTCCATAATAATATTGTGTCTTCTTTGTTAGGCTTTCTAAAAATCGTTGATATCCATTTCATCTTGCACATTTTGTTACACTTTTATGTGCTTTTGAAATCGAAGGGAGAACCTAGGAAGAAAGTGATGCCACAGCCTGGCAACATAATCATGCACATTTACACTTTACCCAAAATTAGTTGTAGCTTACATATTTTTTTTTTTCATCTAACACAAGGACAAAGCAATGAATGCCTCATTATAGTTTTTAGGACTTTGTTCCTAATTTCTGAACTCAAAAAGCTATCTAGCATGCCATCTGATTTTTTTTTTTTTGGTTCAAATTTAGATTTCTAGTGAATTGTGTTCCAAAGTTATTTCAAAAAAAGAAAATTCCTTAAATAATAAGCTATTAGTAAAGGAATTTCCTGTTTTTGTTCATGTTTCAGGGTGATTATCTGATATAGTTTCTATAGTTGTAATGTGCACAGTGTCTGTCCAACAAATTGGTCTCTGCTGACTCCTGGTACTTGGAGCAGCTTGCTTAACCTCCAGTAGATAAAGTAGTAATTACAGTACATCTTTTGTTCTGTATATTTAATAGGGATATTAGGGAAATGAAGTAATAATCACTGCTTTGCTTCAGGATTAATGTTAGTAGAACGTTCATTATTTTACTATAGAATTGCATAAATGCAGTTCATAGCACCAATTAATAAAATGCTGGTAACTGAGTTTAGTATTCTTTCATTTGAAGATGTAGCTCCACAGCTACAGGGTTTTCTTAACTTATAATGAAGCCTAGAAAGGAAAGCAAAGGCTTGGAGAGCCACATTCATTCTTAGATTTTCACAGGAATTAGAAAATTGTTGTTTGGATTTGATTAAATAACATATAGGCAGTAAAGGGGTTGAAACACACATTCTGGGAATAACTACAACTTGCTAAAGATAGTGTAACTGCTAGTCCAGGCATATTCGTTTTTTGTTGTTGTTGTTGTTGTTGTTGTTGTTGTTGTTTGTTTTTTCCTGACATGAAATACCATGGACACATTTTGGGACTTTAGCAAATTCTTCCAGTGACTACCTCTTTGGGACAGGTGCATATGAAATTATACTTTTAATAGCTAATCAAGGCAATTTATTATACATTTGCTAATATAAGTTGTTATGAGGAACACTGGTTTCTTGGTACTGCCTGAAAAAAAAGGTTCTATGTCCAAATAAATTTTGGAAGCACTGGTTAAACAAATTTAAACAGCTCTGCGCACTGCAGGACTTCTCAGAACCTTTTATGTTAACAGTGTTGTATATCTCTAAGAGAGATAGAGAATGTAGCATTTCTCAGACTTCAAATTTTTTGAGTACAGAACCCGTTTGTCCTTCTACCCCAGTGTCTTATGCCTTTAGTGTTCCAAAGAACATATTTTCAGAAACATAAGTCTGTTCTAAAATTCCCATTTTTCTTTATAGTTGGGAAGT